CACACACACACACACACACACAAATGAAACTTTAGTTGTCAAAGCTGCTAGAAGCAGAAAATTAGCTAAAATAGAGGTGGAACAAATAGCTAGCTAAAAGTATCAAATCATCAAGCATCAAAGACTAAAAGTTACTTAAACCAAAAGTTATATTACCCACCCCATGAGCAGGACATTTAAATATATGAATGGCTCAAATAGCAGAAATAAATCTGAAAATTTGTTTAAAAAATGCCCCAATATATCAGTTTTTTATTTTGAAATATATCTTCCTTTTGTCATTCAGGTATGTGCTCTGATTTGCTGTGCTTCATTTAAAAGTCTCAGTATTTTTTTCTTTTTGATGATGAAGAAATAAATAAACTAAAACTAATATTTGGTTTTGTTTTCTACTGAAGTGACAGAAAAAAAGGTCAGTATTTTAACTCTGAGTTTACTAAGGATATCCAGTAGGTGGGTCATCTAATCCTCTAACATGGTTAGCATCAAAATAGTTTGTAACACCGTCATCTTATTCCACCACTAATTACCATCAATGAACAGTTCTCATCATGCTGACTGAGCTGATATTTTCCCCCCTCTGGAAAAACTTACACAGATCAAGTTACGCCCAAAAACGATGTCGGCAGCAGAGAAGGTCAGGTTTAGGATGGTCTCCTGTTGCAGCTGTTTGACATGACAGCGTTTAAACTCGGGCCAGGAATTCAACTTGTTGTTTTCCTGCGTGTATGTTTAGTTAAGACATGTATAGCAGTGTTGTGTAATAAGAGCTTCTAGGTATTTTACAGTGTCTGAAAATAAACGTTGGGAGTAGTTCCACTGAAAGAACAACAAACTTCTTGCTTAGGTCGCTTTCTTTTCAGTCCCTTCCAATCAAACCACATTAACTATCTGAAATTACAGAAAGCTATTTTTCATCTGAGCTGCAAGACGGATTCCAGCTGTCAAAACAACACTGTACTGAATTATAAAAATAATTTACATGTAATGTGAAAGCTATGTTCAAGTTTAATTTTAAGGCTGTTCAGCAGCAGTTGTTATAGTTCCACTTGGCTAATGTTTCCACAGTGGTTGATTAGTACATGTTGTAAGGGCTGAGATGAGTTATTGTGTCACTCTGTTTACTTCTTGCACAGATGTGAGGTTAAACCCAGCCTGTTTGTGCAGATTTTGAGTTCACAAGCGCACAGTGGATGAAGCAACACAAAGCCTTTTAAGACAGGAGTAGATCACCTGCCCAGGTGCTTCAGTGTTGCTGTGCAGCAGGTCTACAGCTGATAGCGGTCTGATTGAGTGACCTTGGGGTGTTTTCATGCAGCGTTTCTTTTGTTTATCCATGCTGCAGACCCATCTTTGTGTTCTTCAACCTCTTATTTTTTATTCTTTGTTTCAGAGGACCCCTCAAATGATGATGATGATGCATTGTTCGGGTTTTATCTGCCTGCATAKCTGGTTACATCATCAGCTGCAGTATAATTACATCACACACCAGACTGCYGTTTGGTTTTACGTTCCTGCAGCCCCACGGTGGCCTGCAGCGGAGCRATATTTATTTTATAAATGCATAATCCAAGTGCTAAGATGTGTTGTTAGCTCAGCTGTGCTGTATTTAAACTGGGGTGTTGTTTATATGTGCAGAAACCATATATGCACAAGTGCGTTGCATATGCACTTGTGCATATATGGTTTCTGCACATATAAACAACACCCAAACCTACCCAGTTTATATGTGCAGAAACCATATATGCACAAGTGCATTGCATATGGCCACACCTCAGTTGATATTTTTACCAGGTTCATCCCTAATCAGGCCAGTTAAATTTGTTTTAAATTTGGTGAAATTTGGCTCTTAATTTTAGTTGCTTTAGGTCAAAGCAGATTCAGAGGTAAGTTGGTGTCAAMCTGTTGAACCTGTTTAAATAAAAAATGACCTGTGAGGTTTTAGACGATGGTTTTGGTTACACGTATTTAATCAGCTCAGTTAAAATTAACTTTTTTTTTAAGTAGATAGAAAAACAGACAGTGGATAAATGCTGTAATAAATACTGTCGGAGTGCAATAATCTGCACAAAAAGACACATTACAGTACATCTGAACCTTTATAAACCTCAAGATGAGGAAGAACTTGTGATTTTGTGCTGATCCTGTAGAGGAAAAATATTCTCAGAGTAAAAATATCCAGATACAGCACGAACACGGACGTTTTTTACATTCACATTAAATTATTTACTAAAATACTTCAAAAACASTTCATGTTTCTGCTCAGTCTTCAGTTGTTGCTTTGATGGTAAAATTACACATTAATCAGTTAATTTTAAATCAAGTTTTAATTCTCRGCTTAAATTCAGGTGTTTAATTTCTGTTTTAAATGTGATTTTTTTTTCCACTTAAAGATGAATTTAAAATGATTTGATGTTTTTATTTGGTTAAAAGTCAAATTTAACTGATATTGTTGTAAAAGACAAATTCCAACTATAAAAAAATGTATAAATGTCTCAAATGCAACGACATATCTTTAAAAAGTCTTGTTTATTTAGCACACAACAGTAMAAACGCAAATGTTTTGAGTGTTTTGTTGAACACGTGTCAAAATTTGGAGCAAGAATCTGGATGTGCAGGCCTGAGATTAAATCGTGAAATTAAGTGAATTTGTCCTTTTTGACCTCAGTCAGTTTATAAAAAAACATGCTGCCTCCATAAAGCTTCATGTTCTTGTGTAAACAATGGTTGGAAGCAGCTGAAATGACTGATAAGGAAAACTGACAAAACTATAAACTTTTAGTTAATGATCATCAGATTTTCAAATCATCACAAATGTTATTTTTTTTATTCTGGTTTTAACGTATCTTCTTCTGAGTGTGAAAATAAATGYTTGCATGACCTTAAAAAGTGAACAACTTTGTTGTAAATGAAAACAAACACTCAAGAAAATGACGGCTGCTTTTAAGACCAGGGTTTAATACATTGTGTGTTTACGTTAGCAATAAAGCTGTATTTTCTTTTTCTTTTCAGCCACCAAAGACACAAAAACAGCTAATTGAAGTGGTTCAGAGACTCTGAAAGCAGTCTAACCGTGCAAAACATTTCAAAATGAGCTGTGCAATGAATAAATGGCATTGAGTGCTAGGTTTATTTTGGTTGTTTTCACTTTTACGATCCACGAGGTGGAAAAAAATGACGGTTCAGGAGAACGTTCCAACACACTGTGAGTTCAGGTGTTTCACAGTTTTATGTTGCTGCTGTTATCAGTTAATGATGATGGTGTTGGAGATTATTGCTGATGAAAGAGGGAGTTTATTTTAGTCGTCTCAGAAGTCGCCACAAGAGCTTCACTGTTGGTTTAGATGTTAATCATTACTGCTTTAAACTGTTCAAAACGTGTGTCCAGTCAACTTTTCTGTTCTGCTCTTAATGTGGGATTATAAAGTAATCCAATGTTAACAGTGAGCAGCATAAACCCTAAGGGTGTTTTTCTTTGACAGAACCAATTGCCACCTGTTTAACAAGTTTTCCCACAAAGTTCGATTAGAGGCGAGCACAYGCTGCAGCTACTGGTTTGAATCTCAGAMCAAACCTCRGCTAAAGTGTCTGTTTTTGTTTCCCAAAYGTCCAGATCCTGCTGCGATTTGGCTGCGAGGACGAAACACAAGACAGCTACAAGGCCGGACCGGAGGTGAGTCCAGTTCTGTCTCGTGTTTACCAGTCTGCAGCCCTCTCCACACAAACTGTTTTTGTCTGTTGCATGCTTCAACACCCCTGATCCTGTTGCTCCGAGGGCGTCAGCTGCCTACACACACACACACACACACACACACACACACACACACACAC